GCATCATGTCTCACTGTCAACAAAAATGTCTGCTAAGAAACAATAACAACCAAACACCCACAGTCTGGAGAAACAAGGCAAGCATCAGAAGCAGTCTCAGATTTTGCAATGATCAGACCAGGAATTTAAAATAACTCTAAATGAAAAGTGTACAACATGCAAGAACACATGGGTAACATAGCAGTGAGGTCGAAATTTTAAGAGATAATAAAAAAATAGAAAACAAAAATGAAAAATACCTTTGACTGAAGGTCAAACTGAAAACAAACACGTAGACTGAAAATAGCCAAAAAGAGGACCAATGAGCTTGAAAATATGTCAGTAGAAAATTTCCAAATTGAAAAGTGAAAAGAAAAAAGAATGAGAAAAATAGAATTAAGTATCCATGAATTGTGGAAAATGTAATTAAATATCCAAGAATTGTGGAAAAATTACAAAAGATGTAACATAAACATAATAGGAATGCCAGGAGGAGAAGAAAGAAATAACAGATCAGAAGAAATATTTGAGGCAATAATGGTTATTTTCCAACATCAATGACAAATACCAACCACAGGCTGAGGAAGTTCAGAGGTCAAGCGGGATAAATTTCAAAAAAATCTGTAACAAGGCAAATTATATTCCAACTGAAGTAAATAAAAACAAAGAGACAGTCTTGAAAGAAGCTGGGGGAGTGGGGGTACCCACCACACCTTTAAACAAGAATCAAAATTATCATGTATTTCCTATCAGAAATCATGTAACAAGAAGACGAAGGGGTGAAATATTTAAAGTGTTGAAAGAAAAAAAATTTAAAAAAACTAGAATTTGTGTATCTATTTCATGGACCACAGTATAATTATTCTTAGAGAGTGAAGAAAAAGTAGACTCTCTCATCAAATAAAGAGGGAGAGAATTTGCTGCTAAGAAGCTTGCCTCGCAAGAAATGTTAAAAAGATGTACTTCAGAGAGATGAAAGATGATAGCTCAGAAACTCAGATCTGTATTAAAAAGAGCATTAGAGAAGGAATAAATGAAGGTAAAAAATTATTTTTCTTCTTAATCGATTTAACAGATAACAGTTTATTGGAAATAATAGCAACAATGTATTGATTGACTATAGCTTATGGATATAAATAATGACAGTAATATAATAAGAAATGGGAAACAGGAATTAAGAACTTCCTGTTAAAAGTTATTTGTACTGCACATGAAGCAGTATAGTGTTTTTTATTTCAAATAGAAAGTGGACTTAGATTAGTGGTAAATGTATGTTGCAAACTCTGTGATAATTTTTAAAAGAAGTGTAATTGATATACAAGAGAAGAGAGAAAATAGAATAATTTAATATACTTCTTCAAAAGCAGAGAAGGCAGAAAAAGAGTGAGCAAAAACAACCACAAAAAGAAACAAACAAGGATAATGAATAGAAAATTGTTACAAATATGATAAATATTAACCTAATTCCATTAATAATCACTTTAAATATCAATGGTAAAAAGATAAACAATTAGAGTGGATTAAAAAAAAAAAAGAAGAACCAATTATATGCTGTTTATAATCAGGCAGAGCTCATGCCTGTAATCCTAGCACTTTGGGAAGCCAAAGTGGGCAAATCACTTGGGCTCACGAGTCCCAGATCAGCCTGGGCAAGATGGCAAAACTTTGTCTCTAAAAAACAAATACCAAAAATTAACTGTGTGTTGATGGCACACGCCTGCGGTCCCAGCTACCAAGGAGGCTGAGATAGGAGAATCACTTGTATCTGGGAGGTCCAGGCTACACTGAGCCATGATCACACTACTGTACTCCAGCTTGGGTGACAGAGTGAGACTTTGTCTCAACAACAATGGAAGAAATCAGCCTTAAATAAAAAGGTACGAACAAATGGAGGGATGGAGAAAAATAATCCATGCTAACACTCAGCAAAAGAAATTGAGTATAACATTTATTTCAGACAAAGCCAACTTCAGCAAGGAAAATTATCAAAGTTCAAGAGGGGTATTACGTAATGATAAAGGAGTCATTTTATTAAGAAGATACAACAGTCCCTAAAGTGTATGCACCTTATCATTGGAGATAGATCCAGCAGGCAGAAAATCAGTGAAGTATGAAGTTGAACTGATAAGTGCTAACAAATAATTGGATCGAACTGACATTTAAAGAATAGCTCATCCAACAACAGCAGAATAGACATTCTTCTCAAGCTCTCATGGAACATTCATCAACATAGATCATATGCTGAGCCACAAAACACATGTTAACAAATTTGAGCAATAAAAATCATACAATGTATGCTTTAGACCATGGAGGAATTAAGTTATAAAACAATAACAAAAAGATATCTGGAAAAATGTCAAAATATTTAGAGATCAAACAATACACTTGTAAATAACACATGATTCAAAGAAGAAATCTCAATAAGTTTTTAGATATTTTAAACTAAATGAAAATAAACATATAACATCAAAATTTGAAGGATGCAGTGAATGCAATACTTACAAGGCCATTTATAGCATTGAATGTACAAATTAGAAAAAAAAATCTAAAGTTAATAATATAAGCTTCCACTTTAGGATTTTTTTAACAAGGAAATTAAACCCAAAGTAAGCAAAAGAATAGAAATAACGAAAGATTAGAGCAGAAATCAATGAAATTGAAAATGCCTTCAGAAATAGTCTAGTCTTATAAAAGAAGAGAAAATGGAGTTTTAAGAGATACATAGAGGAAACAGACACAGAGGAAGAGGCATGGAGCAGAGAGATGTGTTCACAAGCTGAAAATGCCTGTAGCCACCAGAAGCTGGAAGAAGCCAGGAAAAAATTCCCCCATGCTGCCTCTGCCGACACCTTGATTTTGGACTTCTGGCCTCCAGAACAGTGAGATAATAAATTTCTGTTCATTTAATCCACCAAATTTGTGGTCATTTGTTACAGCAGCCAGAGGAAACTAATACAATATTCAACAGTCAGTGTTGGGGGCAAAATTCCCGAAGAAAACACTATGCAATTAGCCAAATACTGGCTAATGACATCAAGATGCAGGAAATCATTTAGACTGAATTGTCAGTGGAAATGACAAATACTGGCCCTGTCCGGATATTCCAGAAATCCTAAGTACTTTTCTCATAATGAGTTTTTTTTTTTTAGTTGAGAAGATTTGATAAATGGCGGTGCTTCTTTTTAAAATTTACATTGATTATATTGAATTGGCTCTTGCAAATCCCATCAACTTGTTTGAATCTAGTCAGATCGTACATGCTATTTACAGTAGGCTTGAGTATGAATAAAAAGAAAGTGAATTTATGGTAAAGCAACATCAATTGTGAAAGCATTGTCAGCAAACTCAGATAAATTAACTTGCATAGGCCTTTGCTTGCAGGTCTGCAACAGTGTATTTTTACCTGGTTTCTGTGCTACATATTCCTTATCTGTATATTCAGAAAATCATAAACACTGATTTTTCTCCCTTTTCTATTAATGACATTTTTACACAGGATTTTCAAGTCTTGTCACTCTGTTCTTACTGAAATTTTCTCAGGCTTCAAGGTCTAGCTTAAAGCCACAGGAATTCCGAAATCCACACTGTTCCTCTGCTTTCCAGTGCATACTAATGAGATCTCTTCTTAGGATGAAGTTCATTGTGTCTCGAAGTATATTTAATGCTTATTTTTCTATCTTCCCTATGAGGTCAGTGATTTTCAACCTGGACTAGGGGCAGTGGTTGGGGAAAGTATAGGAAAGTACAGGACTACCTGGAAAGACTTGTCTGTGGTTCATTCACCTGTTCCCATCCCTTTCACTGAAATTCTGGTTCACTAGGTACTAGCTGGGAACAACTCCCCAGATATTTCTGAATCTCCTCCCTTGCTAGGCCCTTACCTTTTATACCAGATGACATCAGGGAAATAAAAAATAAGTCCTGTGGCCTTAGATAATTTAGATTTTAAGATAGTTATCATATTTTTGAGGTCACAGACTCCTTTGGAAATCCTATGTGGACCCATATTTTTAAAATAAACACATACATAAACTTTGTGTATAAATTCAGGGGATTAATAGCCTTCTGAAGATCATTCTTGAACTCTCTAAGAATCCAAGGGCTTCTAGTCAGAAATCCTAAGTTAAAGTATGTAGAAGATAGCATCACATGAAGGACACTCAACATATACTAGTTTAATTAATTAACTGATTAATGTCTATCTTATTAATGCTATATAAGTATATGCAAATTATTTCTAGACTTTGAGTATATATGAAGAAAGTTACTTATTAACTAGTACCTTGTTATCTTTGCTTATGACAAACTACAAAGTGGACATATTTTATAAACCAAAGAAAAAGAAAAAATAAGGAAAAACATACAATAAATGTTAGAGTTGGGTCAATCTGATTTATTTTAGAACAAAAAGGCAAAACCCAAAATGGTCAGTCATATTATCCTGGTAGCACATATCCTCAGCCAGCCTATAGCCACTGCTTTGACTTCCCAAGGGAAATAACACAATAGTTCAGGCAAAATTATTTTATTTACCTGAATGTGATATGTTTCTCAAACCATGTCAGACTTACCTGTTTGGTTGAGCAAGTCCCCATAGAGGTATAAGGTGCCTTTGGCCCCTAATAAATGAGACTAGAAATGAAATTAAAAGCCACTTCATTGGCTTTGTCCACTTTTTTCCCCCCTCAATTATATCCAATTTTCAATTATCTGATCTAGACCTTAGCACCCCAATGCTGAAAAAATTTCAGGATAAAAGATGGAAGAAAGAAAGGTCTCACCTAAACACCTGAACTTACAGGCCTAAGGTAATCTTAGGCATCCTTTCTTTGGGAAGCACTGCAATTCTCATTGGCTTTCTAATTTCTTCCTCCTAAATCAAAAGAGACTCTGAAATCTTCTACTACCCACTGGTAGAGAAGGAAAAGAAGTCACCATTGGTCTGAATTCCAAAAAGGTTCCATTGAACCCAAGGGCTCAGAATGTTAACCCTTCCCTTTATGATGTGGCAAACTCTTCCATAGCTCAGTGGTCCGATAACAATCCTTAGACCTACATTAACCTATGTCAGTGCCCCATCCTGAGTGTGAAGTGGTGCAAGAGAGGAGAGAAGAGAGGACCTTGGGCCTAATGATAGCCAAGCACCTACCCTGTACAATTGGCACATAAAAGAACTACGACGGAAATCCAGGTATTTGGATAACCAGCCCACTGCTATTTCTAGTCCTCTAAAACCTTTAGTATTAATCATTTTGTTATTACAAGAGATAAAGTACATCATTCTCTGGGAAACAATAACCACATCAAAAAAAATTTTATCTTTAGTCAAATATTCCTTAGCATTATGACTCATTCCTTTGCATCCCCACAGATCAGTAGAACTTATTAAACCTTGTATTTTCCACAAATTAGAAGCAAACTTCTAAAGGGCAGCATTTATTTATATCTGATTCATCTTACGGTAATTCGTATAATATTTTGCATATACTAGGAACTGAGTGAAAGAGTGAGTGAGCACACAAGAGTGGAAAAACTAAACAAAAATGAAGTTTTTCTTAGTATTTCATCAGCCTAATTTCTTTAAATGATATGTTTTCAACTGAGTTTGTACAGTATTCTATTTATATATCTTAAGCCAAATACAAGATGAAAAACTGCTTTCAAAGGAGTTAGAGTACTACTGATTACATGTAACTCAAATATTAAATATTTGGCACCCAGATTTTAGACTAAATTTTTCTGTTTCCCTAAAGAACATTTGAGAGTATACATATCCTCGAGGTCAGAAGGGAAAAAAGGAGACAAACAATGACAAAACCAGCTTCTGATCTTACAAAGAACATCTGAGTGTGAACACATATGTGTATGTATATACACATACATATATACACACATATACACATATATACACACACATATATAAACACACACACACATACATATATATATATATACAACAAGACAGAAGCGCATGAAGAAAAAGTGAGATTCCTTCTCATTTTTCCCTGGGGGAATACAATTCCACAAAGGAAAACACACGTAAACCTGTTTGCTTGTATCCTTTTCTTGTTGTTCTGTAGAAGTTACTCATACCTAGCGTACAAAAGACAGCCTGGCAGGTAATCATCACATTTCTTTCCCAGCCTTAGTCAGAGATAAGGTTTACCTGGGAGTCTTTAATCTTCTTTTGGCCATAATCTCACAAGTAAGCCAAGGGTCAGCCATCACCAGCCATTCAACACTTAACAAATAACTATTATAGATATTTTAGTTCAACTTTGTGCTAACAAAAATTCTATCAATTTTTGCACATTTGTACAATTGTCAAGATTCATTGTTTCCTCTATAATCACAAAATAAAACTAGACTTGGTGTGTGCATAAAAGAAACAGAATAAATTGAATCAAGGACAGTGGCTGTTTCCGAATGACCTGTTTCCCAGACATGGACCATGTCTGCTTGGACCTCCCCCAACCCCACCGCTGCTAACCTCCATTAAATATAATATTTTACCTGCCTTGATAGCTGCTGTCTGTCAAATGCCTCTGCATGCCTGAACCACTCTCACAAGTCAATTTAAATGTCTAAAATACATAACTGATGCTCTTTCTTGTAAATGCAATGGTTTATGGAAAGGATCACGGCTAGAAGATTGTCAGCTGAGGTAGTCTTCTGCGTTTACTCTCAGGGACCATGGGTAGTACAAGCTTCTCTCTCTCAGGAGTAGTCTACCTCACACAACTGTCCTCCCAGTCCTAAGATTTCTACCTGGGAGTGTAAAGGGTTGGCAGAAATGAAGCATAGCTTCCCTCCAGCTGACTACAAGGGACAAACTGCCACAATCACTGCAAATGGCCCATGCGATATCTTCTTTGAACAGTTGATTATATTACTGTCTCTCCCATGTATCTGAATGAACTTGGTTCCCCACTTAGGCCTCTTAGCCAACTCCAGCCTGGCAGATATACCATACAGCTTTAGCAGTGGCTGTAAATTATTCCTGAGCTTTTCTGTCATGGGTGCCAAAACAAGGCAATGTGACATATTTGCTGAGCTATTTAAACATTTCTTTATATAGTGACTAAATGCTGCTGCCCATTTGAAAACACTTGAATGCCCATAATGGCTGCCTAGAAATCAGTGTGGCTAACCTCACCTAATTACTGATCAGGGAGTGACATCCCAAGGTAAGCATCTGTTGAATGCAGGGGAAAATCCACAGAATTCTCTGGAATCAGGCAGTGTTTTGCATCTCTTTGCTTCTCTTCTGCCCTAATGTAAAATTTAAATGACTAGAAGTCAGAGAAAGCATACTCATGTTGCCACATGCCATTTGCCACATTGCAGAGCCCATCTGCTCTATTAAATGGTCAACTACTGGTCAACTACTTCATGCAAATGCTTGAGGAGTCACTTTCAAATTGATCTGGGTTATCTCCAATTTCTTCAGTCAGTTTTCACATGCAGCGGCTTTGTGAATGTTTCAGTAATTGATATGTCATAGTCATTGCCCTCACCTTTCAGGAGCAACATGTGAATATTTTTTTTCATTGTTATTGGGCTGAGACCTATTTATCCAATTCTAAATCTCATTAGAATGCTGTGTCATCTTGGAGCCAGAGCAAAATGGGGGAAGAAAATATGCAGACATTGGTACATCTGACACCAGCCTGGCAGAATTTTTTCTTCTGCAAACCTTGCAGCCCAGAGAAAGACTGCCACTCTCAACCGAATAAGAGGTGCTAAAAGAAAGAATCTTGATTCTTCACCTAATTTTGCAGAGTGGGTTTGCGAATTCACTGCTACCTTATCCGGGCCCTATGAGATCTGTTTCCTATCTCTTTGAAGCATCATTATGCCGAAGCCACAAACACCATTTTTTAGTTTTGCTAACAAGCTAATATTAAAAGGTCCTGTCTTCAGGATGATGTCAAGAGAGTGAGAACCTAGGGTTGTCTGTTTGTTTGTTAATTTTATTTTAGGTTCGGGGTGCACATGCTGTTTGTTGTATAGATAAATTATGTGCTGTGCCATGAGGGTTTTCTATACAGATAATTTTGCTACCCAGGTAATAAGCACAGTAACCAACAGGTAGTTTTTCAATCCTCACTTTCCTCCCTCTCTCCATTCTCACTTAGGCTCCAGTGTTGATTATTCCCTTCTTTGTGTCCATAGGTACTCAATGCTTAGCTCCCACTCGTAAGTGAGAACATACAAGGGAGTATTTGGTTTTCTGTTTCTGTGTTAGTTCACTTAGTTGCCATGTTGCTGCAAAGAACATAATCTCATTCTCTTCTATGGCTACATGGTATTCCATGGTGTATATATATTACTTTTTTCTTTATCCAGTGGAACACTGATGGGCATTTAGGTTGGTTCCATGTCTTTGCTATTGTGAATAGTGCTTCAATGAACATATTTATGGATGTGTCTTTATGGCAGAAGAATTTATATTCCTTTGGATAGATATCCAGTAATGGAATTGCTGGGTCGAAAGGTAATTTTGCCTTGAGTTCTTTGAGAGAGGTCCAAACTGCTTTCCACATCAGCTGAACTAATTTACATTCCCACCAACAGCATGTAAGTATTACCTTTTCTCCACAACCTCATCAACATCTGTTACTTACTGACTTTTTCATAACAGCTGTTCTGAGCAGCGTGAGATGGCATCTCATTGCGGTTTTGATTTGCATTTCTCTAATGGTTAGTGATGTTGAGCATTTTTTCACATGCCTGCTGCCTGCATGTGTGTCTTCTTTTGCAAAGTGTCTGTTCATGTCCTTTGCCCACTTTTTAATGGGGTGGTTTATTTTTGTTTGTTGATTTAAGTTCCTTATAGATTCTGGATACTAGACTTTCGTCAGAGGTACCACCCTGGGATCCCAGCCTCCCATTACTGAGGCTCAGGAGGAGACACAGTGATAGGGGACTACTATGGACACCCAGCAGCACAAACAGCTTATGGAAAAGCAGCCAGACTGGTTTCCACATGAGTCCCTGACCCTACTGCTCCTCACGGACCAGGCCTCCCAACCTGGGACTCTAGTTACCCCCTACCTGGACTCTCAGGCCAGCAGCAGCTCTGTACTTTCCTGGAACAGATGCTCAGAGAGAAAGCCAGGCTGCCATTTGTGCTGCTTTACAGCCCTCCCTTCTGTTGCCCTCCGGCTCAGGAGGGTGCACAGTGATTAGGGAGTGTCAGAGACCCCCCCCCCACCCGCCACACATCACCTTACAGAAAAGTAGTCAGACCTAAACTTTTTAGCAATGGGGATTCTAATTGATATTAAAACCTCTCTTGGTTGAGGTCCTTCCAAATAGACCTACCAAAATCCTTTCTGTTGTCCCCCCAATTTCAGGTATGTCTAAGTCTCTTTCCTCTCAGGCACTTAAAACATAACATTAAAGAAAGCTACGCTATTTAATAATAAGTCCTAGTGCCTCTGCCACCACTATATTATAAGATATTTTTATGTCAAATCACTCTGTCAAATTGAGAGGAGTGTCTTCTTTAAGGAGCTCTAGAATTTTTTTCTTTATTCTGTTTTTCTGTGGCCTCTAGTTTTATCTAATTAGGTCATTTAGAACCACCTCTGAGCCTTATCTTTGGCAGATCACCCTCTATTCTTTATTCATTGACAGAATAACCTTTACTTGAAAAAGAGAAAAACTACAAACGTCAGCATTAACATCAAGATCCATAATTAAGTTGATGCTAAAAAATTCCCTTTAGTGCCTCAAACCATTTCCACTTGGTTTATACAAATACAACCCTGGCATTTTAGTTTTCATCTCCACCTTGCCCTTAGACTTTGACAGGACGTCACTGTATTTTGAACAGCCAGCCAAAGCTTCTCCCCTGACATGTCATGAGCTAGGGCAAAGACAAGTCTGGACAAGCTGGATGTCTTAGATGGAAGCAAAGGGAACATTTCTTCCTTTTCCTCATTAAATTTACTTTATAGCCTCATTCTTCCCCAGTTGTGGCTGGAAACATCCACTAGGCCTCTAAGCTTCTGACTTCTTCTTAAAATGTAAACCACAGATGTATAGAACTAGATTAACTATAAATGTTTATTACCTATTATTGCTTCATGTGTGTGCATTTTTATTGCATTATATTTTATCTATTTGTTTATAGTTCAAGATAATAACCCAACAACCCAGCCAACTCAGGAACTAGAACACTGT